ATGATTTGAATATTTATAAAAGATGACTAAGGTTCATTAATTATAATCAATACTTTATATTATGAAACAATCTAAACTTTTATAAAATCACATATTAATCAAATTAAATGAACAATAAGGATTGAGTTGTATTGATTGTATAAATATAAAGGGTTACATAATAACTCGCATCTCTCTCTTTGTATGATAGGAAAAAAAAATCATGCGCCAAAACTTTTGAGAAAAATTATAAATGCTCCAATAAAATTTCTGTTTTAGCCCATGAAAATTGACAAATGAGACAAACCGACCCGTATTATTTGGTCACTTCCCTTTCAAGGACCATCAAATTAATTTCAAATTACTCTTTATAAAATGATTACCACATAATAATGTTGGTTTCTTGTTGGTCTCAGAACCTGACCTGTAACTAGGGGTGCTCAAAAATCCTACTAACCCGATCAACTCAACCCAACTCAACGCGAAATAACTCAACACGAAGCAATCCGATGTCTAATCGAGTTGTAAAATTGTTAAACCGTAGGTATTGGGTTGATATTGGGTTACTATTATTTGAACCCAACCCACCCCGATGAACTCGATATCCTTTTATTTCTTGGATTTAATATGATTGTTGAATTTCTATTAATATATACATTAGACAATTACACTATCTTATATGTTTTTCATATACACATATTTTCAATTTATTCATATATATATAACTCATTCAGTAACTGTGAACATATATATGTAAATTAAGAAAATTAATTGAATATGATATACGTAAGAAATATGAATAAGTTGTATCAAATGATTGATGATGAAAAAGAAATTATGAGTAAAGAAATAACATATTTAAGGTTAGAAGAATATTTTAACATACCAAAGTATCAATCCGACCAACCCGACCAACCCGTACGGGTTGGGTTGGGTTGGGTTGCATTTTGATTTGGGTTGGGTTGGGTTAAGATTTTTTCAAACCGCAAGCATTGGGTTGGGTTGTTCAAATGTCCTCAACCCGATCAACCCAACCCATGAGCACCCCTACCTGTAAGGCTGTAACCACCACAAATTTGTGAAGTTAAATGTATTTCTATTTTAGATATTTGTAAGTTTCATTCTTAGCAATTTGTTGATTATTACTACGTTGTTGGCTTGTGGCATTGGAACTGATAATTCGATATCTAAAATTTTATGAAAAATCATTGTGTGATAACCATGCGTTTTTTTAAAACCAAACACCATTCAAGCTGGGCAATTGATGGTTGCCTAATTCGTATGGTGTATGTATTTTTATACACATTGTTAGATTAGGATATCCAAAAAACACACACACTTCCTTAAAGGTTCGGGCATAAGCCCATTGAAGATCTTAATGGCTGTTTGGTTGGTTTTCCATTAAGTCATATAAAAATAAAGTTGTTTGTGTTGGACTAATTTGTTTGTATAGATTGAAAATGTTTTTGTTTTAGATAGTTTTTTCATAGATGTAATGAACATGTTTTTTAATTAGAAATGACGGATTTGAAAAAAACTTGGCTTTCTGTAAAGCTTACTGATTAACCCAATTTATATATCATTAATCCACTACCAAACGATCATGTATGCCAACCGAATAAGTTGTGAGTCTCATTAACCCCGTTAAGCTTTTAACAAACACGCCATGAATATAACAACTCCTCTTATATGAAGAAAAAAAAAGATTTGTGAGCCCTTGTACCATCAGGATGGTCTGACAAACCTCATCGAGAATAAGCATGCCCACTTGATCAATGAAAAACAAAGGGCGCTCAGAAGGTCTAATGAGCATGCCAAAAATTTAAGCAGTGGAGCTTGTAACAACGCATCCTACAATCAAGAATTCGATTTACGAGTCCCTTTATAAGCTAAGGATTTTTCTGCAGCGACCCAAATTCGCAATTCAATCAAAACCGCAATCTTTTTCAAACAAATTAAATCAAACAATAACAAATGATCATAATGAAATATACAAGTTGTGTGGGCATTTGCTTAAATGACTTCTTTTATTCATAAAGAAATCTATCTCATATTCATATGTGAAGTTGGGTGAGAAAATGTATATTTGATTGTGACAACACCAATTAACATCTGGAGGAAACAGTGGTTGTAATCGAGCTATACTAAAAATGAAGAAACGAACAAAACGCAGCGTGGTTAACAAAACCGCGGGAAGCCATCATCAGACCCAAAAGAATCTCATGAGTTTGGTGGAAAAGGCCTTTCTGGCTTTCTCCAAAAAGCCCTTTTCCACCAGACTTCAAACCCTCTTTGTATATTTGGGCAATCATCACCCGAGTTCAAAAACCGATCAAACCAAGCCATCAAGATTTCTTGTTGCCGAGCCAGCGGCAAAGTCAGAATTGTATTGCTTAGCCCTTCTTCGATTAAATGACGATCTAGCCCTCTCGACCCTCTCCTCATCCAAGTGAAATCATCATAAAACGGAACCAACCATGTTTGTAAAAGCAAACATCTTGAATCTTTCGATGCTAAAAGTTGACCTTTTCCGATCCCGACAAATAATCTTGCCGTAACTCTGCTGATTTCGAATCTATGGAGTGCAGGAACTTTGGAATGTGCTTCGGATAATTCGATTTGTGAAGCCCATAACTTCAAGAAATCCTCGGAAATTTGTCGATCAATTAAAATGTCAAGAAGCCAGTGTAAATTACCCGATTGCCGTGTGATTTGGGCCACATCTTGGAAGTCTCCTCTCGAAGCTTTCAAGAAATGGTGTCGTAACGAATGTAAACACTTGTCGCAAGCCGAGTACAAAGATTCTTTCCGCAAATCGTTTTTTGATGAATTATCGTGAAGCATTTTCGAGACCAAAACTTTCATCTCTCGCTTAGCTTTTTCATCTTTTCCTTCGAGAACTACGTGTAAAAGTTTAAGAAGTACTTGTTGGTTGTTAATTTCATCGTCCCCAGGTGTAACATCGACCGAAACCCGCTTTAAAACTTCAACCGCGCCGACCCCTTCAAGTTGAAGTTCCGATAATAAAGATGCAACCTTTTCTTCTTCATCCTCGGCCCATGGAGCGGCTTCTAAGTACTCCAAACAAGACAAAACCCCGGCATTGAACCCGATTGCGGCCGACACCTATGTTACAACGCAAATCAAAGATTTATGAGAAATTAAATATGTCTAAATGTCTTAACAGACTTAAACACTAGCTACACGCCAAAATTGGTTTATAGGTTGTTAAATATGTCGGTCTGTTTGTTAGCAACTTAATGAGACTCATAGCTAATGGCTTTATGATATAGAAAGAGACTTATTCATTAAGCTTCTAAAAGGAACTTTATGCATAAAGTCAAGTTTTTTCCAAACTTGCCCCTCCCAATTAAGAAACACGCTCCTTCCATCTATGAAAAATCATCCCGAACAAAAACATTCTCAATCTATACAGAAAGATTAATCCTCACAGACAGCTTTATCCATACAGAGACTCAATGGGAAAACAACCAAACAGCCCTAAATATCATACTGCTTTATAAAACTTAAGTTTATAATATCAAACAATTGTGCGTCCCAAGGTGTTATAATAGAACACATCACTTTTGAACGCATAACAAGTTTCTAAGACGCTTTTTGAAGTTAAGTGTCCTACTTGTTGGGCGTTCTAGCAACTTATTGTAACACATTTACGTAGAACGTACAATTGTTTGGTCCTATAAACATAAGTGTTATAAAGCAGTCTATTAGGCCATTTGAACATATAATGTGCCCTAAAAAGCCAATTTGGTATGTCATCCGACCCAGTAAGCCCCATACGCTAAAGCATGTATCTCACATAACTGTGGTGGCCACAAGAGTAGGGGGTAGGAATCGAACCCAGATAAGATGGGATGCTACCCTCACTCCCCTAGGCCTCAACCAACCCGGCAAAATTTTCACCATAGATTGGATTTTTCTAACCGGCAAAATGGCGCTTTTTGGCGTACGATTGGAGATGCCCCAAGTACTTGAGCTTTATCATTTAAGACAAATATTATATATATACACGCATAATCATTTACAAAAAAAAAACTTACAATCCAGTTTTTATGTATTGTTTCATACATAAGATTGAAGTGTTTATACAATATTGTTTCATAAGTGAAAACACTATATAAACATCGCATTTTCACAAGCATTGTTTCATTATGAAAACTAGCTTCTAAGTTTGTACGAATTATTGGGTTTATAAAGAAAATGAAATTGTATATATATATTATAAACATAGATTTGGGATCATACGAGACCAGACTGTTTTCGTGAGACCCTTGAGACTTCGCAATGTCTCGTTGTGAAGGTTCAGTGTTTTTTTGTACCTTCGCTATGTTTTGTTGTGAAAATGCAGTGTTGAAAACAGACTAGTCTTACGAGAACCCAACCTTGACCACATATATACAGGGTCGGGTTCTCGTGAGACCAACTTGTTTTCATGAGACCATAATATAACACAGATGTCTCACTTGTTTTCATGAGACCATAATATAACACAGATACTTCATTGTGAATGTATGAAAGGCGGCGAACCTTCATAGCAATACCTTAATAGTGTTTTCTTTATGAAAGTTGAGTGTTATTTACGTGGGGTTATGAAAACAATATGATCCCAACTCTTTGTGTATATCTGTAAATCTATATATCCATATATAATTAGATTACCTTCAAGATACCAAGAACCCTAGGAACGTCTTCCTTCATGAGCCTCCTCTTTAAATCTTCACTATACATCAACCTAATAGACTCGATATAAACCTCAATATCATCACAATCAGCAATTTCAACGATATAAGGATAATTAATACTGTTCCCCATTTTCCGGCGATAATCCGATAACTGAACAGCAAAAAACCGACTATGACCCACCAAGATCTGCCGATGAACATTCATACAAACACACAAACCATCCTTCGAGCTCAAAGTCAGCTTCACATCGCTCGAATTCGGATCATTGAACTGGTTTCCAGGGCTCCGGCAAGCCAAAATCTCCGACAACCTTTGTTGCATCGAAGCTTGCTTGTCAACCACCACCATCGGCGGTGGGATCACATGGCCATTACCGAGTCTCTTTAAGGTCGTATTTTGAAAAACTCCATTTGCATTGTTTGGGATCTTGGAATCGGGTTCGTTAGCCATCATCTCGAAAAGAGTCGGGCTAGATCGGCTTTTATCGTTGGGCGACGCCGGCGGTGGAGACGATATGGGATTCAAGAGCCCGGCGGTGAGAGCAGAGTTAAAATGGGTAAAAGAAGACGGCAATGTGTCTTGATTGTTACCGTCGCCGCCGTAGACGGTGGTGGTGGTGGTGGTGGTGGTCATAGTGTGTACCAGTTGGGGGTTTTCAAGATTTAACGGTGAATCGGAATGTAAAGCTCGTTCCTTTTCGGTAGATAAAGATTCCGGCGAGGGAACCACCACGGGTGAAATTGAAGTCGATTCTGGGTTAGTGGTGGTTATGACGGCCGGTGGCGGTGGAGGTGGAGATGAGGGTTTGTAGGATGAGACACCGGGAGGGCAACACCAGGAAGTGTTTTCAGGTGAAACAGCAGATGGGTGATGGTGGTGGGTGGCGGCGGCGGAGGTGGATATGGTGGTTTCTTTGAAACGCCGGCGGCGTCTGAAGATAATGGCGATGGTGCGTTTGTTTTCGGGATGGTGGTTTGAGGCAGCAGCTGCCATATGAATGGTTGTTTGTTGTCTTTTAGGGTTAATTTGGAATCTAAAGAAATCTTTGTTTGTTAATGGCGGTTGATACAAGAGAGTGTGTGTTACGGTGTTGTGTGTGAGAGAGAGAACTGACAGGTCATGGTTTACATACACTCTGTTCATAGACAGCATCACAACAAGGACTGTTTCAGGTAAATAGGGAAAAAAAGTACACAAATTCAATTGAGACAACAAGGACATTTTTAGCTAATAATTATGTTTTTTTAATCAAGCTTTTAATGTTGTGAGGCTCCTGTGACGGTCAAAGCAAGTCTCAAACCTTTATGAGTTACGATAAGACCATGACGTTTTGTAAAACATATAAGCAAATGATTGTATGAGAAAAAGAGTTAACATAAGAAGTGTAAGAATAGATCTGAATCCTAGATCGCTTATAATCTAATACACACCAATGAATTGTGTTTTATAAGAGAATTTATTCGGTGTATTTCGGTCTATCTCATTAGTGTTGACATTTAATTATGATTAATCAATGATTTATTTATTTAAAAAATGTTCAGAAAGTTAATCAATCAAAATGTGAAAATTTAATGGATTTTTCATTCAAAAACTTAATCATTTAAAACGAAATAATTCGTTAGGATTTTTTTTCAAATTTTATGCTATTTATAACATATAATTATTAACATATGAGTACAAAGTCAAGAATCTTCCCTAACATGTGTTACCATGTGATGTAGTAAACAATTCCTCCCATCATTTCAAAAAGACAATTACCCATTCAATTATGGGTTTTTACAGGGTGTCATTTTTATATTCATAAAAAAATATTTGATTGTTGTTATCGTATAAAAAAAACTGTATCAATACAATTCTAATAATTCATAACTGATACCATATTGCTGATCAAATATGTTTGGCTGCCAATTTAAATGACATCAGATCACCAGCTAAGGCCCCTAAATGACCGTGACCCCTTTTGTGAGAAGGCACCCCTTCTCCCAATCTTACGGGGCTATTTTACAAAAAGATGGTTGTTCAATAACTTATGTCTTAAAATGTGCAATAATTTTTTAGAGTAAATTATAATTTACGTCTTTGTGGTATGTTAATAATTTTGACTTTCGTCCTTGTGGTTTAAAATGTACAATTTTTTTATCCATATACTAGTTTATATCTTTAGATATAAAGGACCAAAACAGTAAATAATTGTAAATTATATGGACTGAAACGATAATAAATTATAAATTATAAGAATAAATTATAAATCATAGAGATAAAAACTATAATATCTATAAATCATAAGACAAAAAATTATAATTTTAACAAACCATAAGGATTAAAAAAACGTAATATTTATTAAAAACTATTAAAACACAAAAGATGGTCAAATTGTCAACGATGGTGTGTTTTGATAATATACAAAAATTTGGATCTTTTGGTGTTATTACATATTACAAGGGTATTCATGTAATATGACGAATTATATTTCGTTTTTTAATATTTTATTTTATTTTTGGCCTATATCGATGTTATAATACGAATTTATGTGATTTTAAACTAGCAATAATGTTTTTTTTAATAAAATATAAATTTAAATATATCATAAAAATTAATATATATATATATGTTCTCATTTTTTTATATAATTTCTTTAATTCGAATTTTTTTATTATAATTTAATGATGAAGTAATTTATTTTTGGTTTAATAATATAATTTTTATAAATATAATAACTAAGTATTATGTTAGAACTCAATAATTATCCTAATTATATTTTAGATTTTATATTTAAAGTAAGAATTTTATCTTGTATTTGATTATATTTATCTACAGTTAGTTACATGAATTCAAACATGAAACTTAATAAGTTGTACTTACGCACAATTTACTTGTATTCTTGAATTTTAAATAATATGCATAAATAAGAAGTATTTCATGTATAAAAGATTATTTTTAAGAGTTTTTATCAAACGCTTTATAATATAGTATAGATAGATGATTTTGATATTTGTTAATTTAACCAATTGTTGAAATGATTACCAAAAAAATATTGTTTCCAAAATTTAAATTTTTTATTTGGATTTTCTTATATTTTATCACTTCAATTTTATGTATTTATCAAAATAAATGACACAATTGTTGGGATTTTTTTAATTAAGATAACAAATTGATTACCAATAATCTCAACTGGATTTATAAGGAATCTACCTCCACCAACGCCAATATGAGATGGCATTTTTTTTGCCTCATTCAACGGTTGGGGTTAGCAGGAGGGTCCTGGGATCGAAAACTCATGACTTATCTTGTATTTGGTCAAAGCCATATCACCATTTTGCCTAGAGGTGTTAATCGGTTGAAATCCAATGAGTTTAGGTGGATCTGATCTGATCCAATGATCTATTGGATGTTGGATTTTGTCATCCGATCCGATCCAATTGGCATTGGACATCCAATCCGATATAATTCCAATGGATGGTTAGATCATATTAGATTTCTCCAATCTTTTGATCTAATACTCAACCAATTAATCCATCATTTTAACCCTTCATTCGTATATTTTCTAAGATTATTAAAAAAAACAATGTATATATCAACAAAAAAATTACTGTAAATGTTAATAATTATATATAGTTATTAATTGAATGTTTTTTTTAAGTATTTAATACTTATATACTACAAATACAACAAATAAACTTACATACCCTCTTCACCTTTGGTGAGGTTTGAACCTCTGACCTCCTAGGAGGTCAAAAACAACGATACCGTTAGGCCAAATGCTCTTTGGTTAATTGGACGGGGAATTGGATGGTCATTGGATTGGATCGGTCTGCTTTTATTGGATGTTGGACTGTCATCCAAGAACCGACCGGTCTGATTTGGATGTTGAAATTTTGGATCAGATTCATTCCATTTATAATTGAATATCCAATTATGGCTAACTGTTTCTAATTGGATCGAAACGACTTTTTACACACTTGTCGACTAAGCTACACGTTAGAGACGAGGTCTTTATTATGCATATACTTCAAAACAATTAACGAAAAATAATATAATCGGTATGTTTATAGATATTTAAATATATAATTAATTGAGTACGTATTTATAATAGAGTCAAATATCTGATTATTCAACCGTTCTTATAGATATTGTAAAACAGTTATTTTCATATGTTTTATAAACATAATGCTTTTTTATACTCGAGATTGATAATTTTGATTTTTTTTCAGACGTATATCATAAAAAATGACCGACACTTAAAGCCTTTATACAAGTAAACGTGTTTAAATATTTAAAAGGAAAAAGGAATATCGATATAGAGGAGCATATAATTGTTGTAATTTTAGTTGTTTATATTTTTATGGAAAGCATATGCCAATAACTAGACATAAGAAAGGTAATGTATATGTCAAAGGGCCTTTGACCTAGCGGTGTATGTGAGTCTTTGGCCTCCTACGAGGTCAAGGGTCCAAACCTCACCGAATATTAGGAAAGTGTATGAGTTTATTGGTCTATCTTGTGATTTCGATGAAATATTTGGAACGTGATCAATTGAAAACAAGAAGGATTGGAATTTCTTACTCGACAAGTAAAGAATGATCAGTAACCGGTCGATGGTTACCGAGTATTAATTAACATACAACGAATTTTTGTGTCATTCTGATAGTGAACTAGATAACAAAAATCAAACCATTAAAATAAGAATAAAAAGGGCCATCAATCAAAATAAAATACATTTTATATTATGCAATATACAACTTAAATTTAATTAGAAATATATAAAATTATTATTTTTGTACTTTTAATTCAAAATATTGATTTTCTTTTAATCTTTGTCCATTTGGAAAAGCTTTGTTGGGCTTCACAAGTCCAAAAAGGTGATCCATCAGCCCATTAAAAAGGTTAAGCAATCTCAATGTGGGCCTTTTAGAGCCTAACAATCAATTCATTAAACTGCATAATAAGCCCTTAAGTTTTGTAATGGCCCAATAGTTCGTATTTCTTTCTAAAATAAGTGTTCATGCTTATATATTAATTAGTTTTAAAATAATTATCCACGTTTAAAGGTAAATGTTTACTATTTTTATTATGGGGCAAATTGTATGAAAAAGTAACGTACTTTAACTTGATTCCTATTTTGGGTAACGTACTTTCAAGACTTTCATTTTTGTACCTAAGATGTAAAGTTTTAAATATTTAAGTACCGGTAACTGGTTAAAGCATTAATCGGTTATCATGCTGATGTGATGAGTGATTTGACTTACCTTTTCAATTTAAAGCTCAATAAAATTTTATACTGAACTGGATACCACATCATCATGATAACATGTTAATGCTTCAACCGGTTACCTGAGTGCTTAAATGTTTAAAAAATTTATATCTTAGGTACCAAAATGAAAGTTTCAAAAGTTACCCAAAATAAGAATCAAGTTAAAATACGTTACTTTTTCAAACAATTTGCCTTTTTATTATGTCTTTAATTATAAGACGGAGAAATTTCTCTTTCTATTATTAAAGGTAAAATTATCAATTAATTAATTAGAAAGTGTAATCATTAAACTATGTGTTATTTTTATTATGGATATTTAATTTGGAACAGAGGAAGTATATAAAATCTAAAACGTTATTTATATGATTCAAACGAATTCTAAACATTTTGATCGAGTATCTGATTCAAGTTCTAAAAGATGCCATGTTTGAATAGTTTGAGGGAGGTATGTTAGAAACCTCATTTTTCATTGAGAACTAGGAACCATCGAGAACGTGCCACATGTCCATGTGGCTCATTCTCGACGGTTTTTTTTTTATCTTAACGGAAATCAGCTTGCTAACGAGAACCTCACCTTAAATACTTTTACTTTATCTAATAGTTTGCATACGAGGAAAAAAAAACAAAACCGTAAATATAATTCGAACATAAAAACATGACTAACTTAGGGGCCGTTTACCAAACACTTACCCGATAAGTGCTTATCGGTAAAATTTAATACTATTATTTACTTACCGGGTAA